ATCTTGTGCCAATAATTTCTAATCAAAATAATTTTAGCAATTAGAGAATTGTCAATTAAATTGGCTCTTACCCATAATTTTACTCCGCTTTTCCAACAATGGTTACAGTATCTAATAATAAAGTTTACAATTCAAAAGCCAATATATACTTTACTATCATTATAACGAACTCTGCTAAAAGATCTCTTATTATAATGTTGTAACAGATATTTATTATAACAGATAAAATTTTTTGTCTAATTACTATATTAGAATGAAGGTAGAGTATAGTAAGTATAATTTATCAATTATAAATAATTAAACTTCTAATATAATCTACTAGACATCTGTTTCTAATTTAGTGCAATTATATTATGCAGCTACCTTATTCATTTTTTTTATAATTTTATTCTGTATAAGTTTGTTATAAATAAGGTAGAATTGTGAATTGTATAAAAAGAAAAGAAAAAGAAAAAATAAGTTAATTAAACAATTTACTAATTGTTGCTTAGTCTGCTTAATTTGAATTTGTGCTTCATAATAATAATAAACAAATCCTTAAATTGTGTGCACTTGATATTCTTTTATTCTTTCAATTAATTTGATTAAAAGATGCCTTACCTCTTCTATAATTATTCTATCCTAAGTAATGCACTATTCTTTGTATTACTGTTAGTGAACCTCTTATAGCTTGTTCTCGTATTATTGCAACCAGCACATGTAAATATAAAAATTTTATTTTTTATTCATATATCATTATAAATTTAACATGATGCCCTAATTGTGTGCTTGCTTGCTTCCTAGAATCGAACTATTTTTCTTTTTTGGTTTTCAATTATCACAAAATAAAGAATACTATCGAATTCAGGTTGTATTTATAAGATAATAATTTCTGGTAAACAATAAAAATTAGCTGAATAATTTTTTAGGCAATTTGATAAATTTCGGAATGGTCTATATAATGAAAGCAATAACTTATTGAAAATTTATGATGAAAGTTGTAATAAAATTTCAAGCCATATCTGGCCATATAAATTTATGTTAGTGCTTTAGAACAATTAATATATTGTACAAGTAAGAAATAGTAATTGCAGAGTTTTAAAGATTCTGCTGCTCTAACTGAAAAACTCTGCTACAATTACCATTAAATATACAGATTCTGTGTAATATAAAATTTTAAACATTGAAAAAAAAATCAAAAAAGAAATTTCTAATTTTATCACAATAGACTGCTTTCGTGAATTATTTCTCATTCTGTTCGCAGACCAGGAATAGAATTCTGCGTAGATTCTGCTACTGCAGAATTCTAGACACACTAAGTGGTTGGTTGTGCCAGAATCAAATCTTATGAAACCACTCCTAAAATAAATTTACAAGCAGAATTATACATTCTACAATTATCTAGATCTAATCAAGTAAAATATAAACAATACAAAATTACGAAAATTTGCAATCTTAATTATTAATTTATATAGAACATAAAAGCAATGAAAAAAGCAAAAATAAATGACTATCATTCTATAAAATATATGAACTTAAAATTGAAGAAAAACTCGGATCAAATCACGAAAATATAAATTTTGGTTAGCATCTCTTAATTGACAATTCTCTAATTGCTAAAATTATTTTGATTAGAAATTATTGGCACAAGATATAAGAGATATAAGGTCAATTACGAAAAAGAGATATCATCATGTGTAAAAGATATCTATTTTAGCTTGAAGGCTAAGTAATAGGCATGTGATACTTTGAGTTCTATATCTAGAGAAAAGATTAATTAAAACTAATTTAACGAAGCATTCAGAAACTAATCTGTATAAAAGTAACTATTTATCAGATCTATTTATATTGACACTCTCTAAAAATAAAGAGATTGTCCGAATACCCAGATGTCGATTTAACCAGAGGCAGTTTCGTAAGTTCAAAATTTAAAAAAGTTCGGTATAGACAGATGTCGATATAACCAGATTGACGTATATTTATAGATTTTCAATGGTAAAATATTATTCTACTTCAAAAGATTAGCATCAAAAGCATTTAACAATTCTTCACATTTATCCCAAAATTTTTTAGCCAATTCTTTGTCCAATGCTTGACCAGTTAATTGGAATTCTTGAGCATCCTCAAAATACTTTCCACCATCATCGATGTTTGGGTTTAAAGCGGGATACATTATATTGGTTGCACCAATGTCAGGAGATTTAGCGAACATCATGACAAAACGTTGAAGTAGACTTTCACCACCGATATTTGATTTTATAAATCCTGGATGACATGCTGTGGACGTAACGTCTAATTTTTTGTAAAAATCAATGTAAATTCAGTAACAAATAATGAAAAAAGTTTCATATATGTTACATAATAAAATATGATAGAATTACTTACTCGAACCTTGTAAGTGATGATTAAGTTTGTTGCTGTATACAACGTTCTAAAAATTTTTCTGAGATAATTAGTCATAAAAAAATACGGTATATTACATATAAGATCTTATTAAATGCATTAATAATTTACTAACCATTAACTTTGCGTTCGAATATAATTCCAAGAAACTACTAGATTTTTCACCTTGGAGATTATCAAAATCAATTTTACCATATCTTGCAGCCATTGAACTTGTATGAGTTATTTTACACGGAGATTCCGGTGTGGCAGAGTTTTTTATGGTTGGGATCAGAAGTGAAGTCAAGAGAAAGTGAGAGAGATGATTAACCTTGTTTCAATGGCATTATTAAAAATTATTAATAATTTGTTAATCAAATGAAAACAAATAATTTTAATCCAATTTACCTGAAATTGTTGTTCAAAATTGTCTTTTGTTTTTACCACACCATACAGCCATAGGAACACATACCTATTTGATTAAATTCAATAGCAAATTAATAATTAAATTCAATAGTAATAATATAATGCAACATTATTCAATCGTCAGTATACATACCAGCATTATTCCACAAATAGTGTAATTCTCCAACCTCTTTAATAAATTTGTCGGCAAAATTCTTTACACTATGCAGATCTGCCATATCCACATCCCATAATTCGACACATTCTACATTTCCGTCCTTAGATGTTCTGATATATTCCAAGAGAAGGTTACCTTTTTCTCGATTACGAACTGGAAGTATTAAGCGTTTTGGATTATATGATGAGATTATTCGGGCTAAACTTTTACCAATTCCTAAAAAATCAAAAAGAAAAATAAAATCAAACGTTATTACAATAATTACAAAAGAAATTTTCGTTTATTTAGAAAGAAAAAGTGATGAACCATCTGTAGAGCCGGTAATTATAACGACTTTATTTGTTAAGTCAAAGGAATCGATAGTTGACTGATTTGAACCCATTTCGATTTAAACAGATGAATTAATGAAATTTATTTACAATACCTGAATACCAGATACGTAATATATATACTTATGTACTGTACGTTAGTGTTACAAATCGATTAATCCCGACGTACGTGCAAAAGAAAAAAGCAAAGAAAGCGAAAACACTCGAAAAACTAATGTTTAAATCGACCTTGATGCACTAATTAAAAATGTCGGCAACAAAATTTTACATATAGGAAATGTTAATTTATTTTAATATCTCCCCAAGTTAACGCCCCTAACCTTAAAATTTCTACCTTCACGTACTTGGTTTATTTTCATACTCGCTCGATTTCCTTTTTGGGTTTGCAAAATAACGATAATCGCCTCGGGCGCATGTATAAGGGCTTTAATGCAGATATTCATGTATTAATTTAGTATAGATTGCTAATCTATTTGCCTAAAGATTTTAAATGGTATAATAAATTACCCGGTGTTACGATCGGTTGGGAGAGCTTGATGGATTTGGGCCGGTTTAGTTCGATCGTGAACAAATAGGGATTAAGGTTAAAAGATTTAAATCAATAACTAACACACATAATTACGGGTATAAAGGTTCTCTTTATTAACATAATTCAATATATTGGATTGTTACAATAATACTAAATACTATCAATCATTGTTAACTACTGTTCTTCCCTCATAAGCTGAGACTAAGCCCTTATATATATTTTTAATTCGTACGGGAGCTTTAATCTCTCGATTGGAGCTTTAATCTCTCGATTGGAGCTTTAATCTCCCGATTGGAGCTTTAATCACCAACCGTGCCACAAACTATGCCAAAATAAGAAATACTTAACGATAAAATAATGATATTAATTAAAAAAGAAAAATTCGAGCATAACACCGGGTAGAAATTTTTTTGGCGGGTACAATCTCTATATTTGCTATCGGCAGTGACAATCGCTGGATTGTAATTGACCAATTAGGTAGCTGCGCAGCGCGTGACGCGGCGCAGGACCAGTACGATCAGCGTTCACTAAATCAGGAATATTAGATA